GGCCCGTCGTGAACACAGACGCTCGGCCACAGTGTCCGGGAGCCAGGGCACAGCGGCCTGTGGGGACAGTGGCCTGCAGGGCAGGCTGTTTTTTTGAGCATGAAGTGACTCCTGCCTCTTCTATTTCTTTGACTTTTTTAGGCCCACCAAGGACACGGTCACTTTTAATCTGATTTGTTTTCAGAATTTTCATTTCTGCTAGAGGCGTTTTCTCTCCCTGAGCGTGTTCACTCTAGGCCTGCAGAGCCCGCTGTCACCCCCTTCCTGCATCGAGACCAAGCTCAGGCCCTCGCATGGACTGGATGGCGGAGCGAGTCCCGTCTTGTAGGCTGGTACTGGAGCACACATCCCAGGACCGGCGCCAGTCCTGTTCTCCCATCCCCGCCCTGGCCACTCCCGCCACCCTCCTCCCCTCTTCATGACAGAACCACGGCCGGCAGGTGCAGAGCCATCAGAGCCCTCCCACCGGGCGCTGGTGGACGGGGCAGGTGCAGGCTGGTGTCTCCGCGGGACAAAGGTGTGATAGGGACAAGGAACGTGCTGCAGCCTTTCAGGGCCAGGAAGCCCCTGCTGGACGGGCAGGACTGAGCACGCGTGCGGCGTCCGGCTCAGCAGGTGCCAGGAGCTGTGGGGAGCGTGCACAGTGGCCTCACGTCCACCCAGGCCACACTGCCTCGCAGCAGCAGCTCCTGGAGCCCCCAACTCTGTGCGGGCTTCTAGGGCCCGCCTCGTAGCTCCCAGGCCTAGGTGGCCCTGAGACTGTGCTGGGAAAAGGGGTGCAGATTGAGCAGGAAACGGGATCCAACCCACTCCTGGAGCTGCCCAAGACTGAGTTCGTCCTCAGAGGCGCCCTGCGGGCTCAGGCCTACAGCTCCAGCAAGTCCGCACGTGGCTCTGCCCAGGAAGACATGAGGAGAGGGGCTGGGAGACGGAGCTCCCCCTTGCCCCAGTCTCCTGTGGAAAGCTCTGACCGTCGAGCGCACTGGTGGGGTGTCCTGAGGAAGGACGGGGTGAGTTTTCGCCTGGGACTACTCAGCATGTTCTGGCCACACGTCGCAAGAAACACAGCCTCGCATTTCAACAACAGCCTCGCATTTCAACAACAGCCTCGCATTTCAACAACATGGCTTCGCTGGGACAAGCCCGTGACAGAGACCTCGCGACAGGAATATGTCAGTGTTTGAGACCGAAATGACTCTACCTGTCTGCAGTGTCCCCGAGCGCACGCAGGGCCACCTACTCTCTTCCCCTCCCAAGAGGCAAGCACGGGCGTGTCTTGGTCCCATCTTAGCTCGGTCAGCCCCTCTGCTCCCGAGGGTCCTCGCCCTGTGCAGTACGGAGCCAGCCTCCTCGGTGGCAGTGTCCTCACTGCAGGGTCCTCATCTGTGACCACACTGACCCCATGTAGGCAAGACCCAGTAGGCGGGCGGCCTGGCCAAGCACACTCTAACCCACGCCCTGGGGCTGATGCCAACTCTGGCCTGCTCCGCTCTGCATCCCAGTGACCCACCTGTGTTCTCAGCTCCTCAGCGCGGGCAGAGGGGACCGAGCCTGGCCCTCCCTGGGCACGGGGAGCATGGCTCGTGCGTGTGTAGCTCGCCTGGGCCTTAGTGCCACGTCAGACCCTAGCTCAGGTGCTCCCAGGTTGCTGCACTGTGCTGCTCCCAGCCGTGTGCACAGGGCTCGCGGATGTGGGGTAGGGTAGGACGGGGAAGCCCACGGTTCCCGCGAGCGACACCCACTCTCCACCTGATGTGGCCGACCAGCGTCCTGACCTCGCCCCACGTGCCTGGGCCGGATCTTCCCTCCTGCCGGGACAAATGCCCCCTCCCCGGAGCTTTGTCGTCTTGGCCCAAAGGCAGACCCAGAAGGCCACCTTTCCCACATGGTCTGCTTCCCTCACGGCCAAGGACAGACGGCAGCAGCCACATAGAGGGCTGCTCCTCGGGGGAGAGGAGGCTGCCGGTGCCACCGCTGACAACGCTGTGTGTACACCCTCCTATCACACGGGCTGTGTTCCTGCACCGTGGGCGCGCTGCAGGAGTGGACGGTAGACTGCGGGACGCTCACAGCCGGTCTGGTGGGAGGGCACACTCCAGAGGACAGGGACATACCCGCCAGGCCACGAGCCCCCTGCCTGCTCGCTGCACAGCCACACACCCGCTGCCTGTCTGCCACCAGGTGCTGACCACACCCGCACAGGCCACATGTCTTCCCACGGCCCTTCAGCCCCACCACCAGGGGCCAGGCTGTCCAAGTGGATCTGGTATGTCAGAGGGACAGGTGTGGTAGGGCCAGCCCTCGTGGCTCCGAGCCTGTGGACAGGTGTGGTGGGGGGCCA